ATTTTTATTATTATTTATTTTAAATTTTTTTATTTTTTTTTGTGAAAGATTGTTGGTATGTTGTATGTTGTATTGATGAACATTTACTTGTGATTCAATCATGGAGATTTGAGGTTAATATTGTACTGATTATTTATTCCTAACATAATATTTAATTGACCAGTAATAATTTATTCTCAGTATGAGGCCCCACTTTTTAATTTTAATTTTATGTGTTTATTAGTATGGTTGACTCAGTCTAAAGATCTCCTATTGTGTGCCATGTGGCCAAATTTCAAAATAGCAATTTTGTAATTTTGTAATTTGTTCAAAAATTTCAAAAATGTAATAAAATTTTTCAAAAAATATGACTTCACGTGATTTTAGTTTTCTTACTGCCAAAATTAGATACGATAGTCAAGTGCTAGTCTAAATTTGGTAATATTTTTCCTAAATTTAGAAAGGATCATAGCGGAAAATTCCTCGCGAGCATAGTAAAGTACAGTCAACCCTCCATAAGTGCACACTGTGACCTGGTCCCAAGCTCGGGACTTAGAGATAAGTGCACTCCCTCTATGTTCTGCACTGCACAGTCTTTTCCTGGCCCCGTTCATATAAAACCACCCTCTCTAAGTGCACCCTCGTGACTTTCATGTGACCATGCTGCAATAAAAATTTAGTAATTCCATGTTGCATGTACATCAAAACATTGTTAAATAATAATTCAAGTAACAAGTAAATAAATAATTCCTTTCTTTTATTACAACAAATAATTAATTCGTCATCTGAACCAACTAGTTCCACAAATCTATCTCAAACACAACTTTTTTCTCACTTTTCTTTTAAAATATTCCTCCTGTAATGGTGTCTATAATATTATTTTTTTTGTAGAAAAAAAAATAAAGGAAAATAGCAGAAGCACTTAGGTGATTCATTAAAATATCAAGGGCTTAATTTACTTAATATTCCAACTCCGCCTGTTTTAGTAATACCTTCTATAAATACAATGACTAGAAAAAACTTAAGTGACCTTAAAAATGATCCTAAAATGTGTTAATGTTTGGATGATTTGCACCAGATTTTCTAAAAATTAGTTTTTATGTTAATGCATAGTCGAATCTCAAACACTGCAGCCAGTATCATTGTAATAATAATGGTTACATTATAATCACCATTGAAAGATTTTTTATGTCCATTTTTTGAAATTCATTTATAATTACAGAATTATAATGTTAATTATTTTTGTTATTATTATAGGAATAAAATAAACAAATGATTGCTCTCATATCTGATAAATCAGATTCCTCACTTCAATTAAAAAATTATCAATGGATTTTATTATTATATTTAAATTGCATTACAACAGACAATGAATTTTTGGTAAAAGTTAATAATAATATGATATACTTGTATCCATTTGCAATAGTATTAATGTATTTGTTTTATATAAATAAATAAATATTGTCTAAAAAATAATCTTATAATAATAAATAACAAGTTTACAACTATTATTTAAGTTGTAACAGCTATACATGAAGTCGAAATAGGGTCGAAATAAGGTCGAAACTGATTTTTACTATGTAGTTGCCTCAAGTCGAAACATTTCGACTTTAGGGTTTTAATTTCGACTTCATGTAAAGTAACAGCTATCCATTATGTCTTTGTAAATTGGAAGTTCCTGATTTATAACTAAAAATCCGATCATTCGTCATCTGAACCAACTAGTTCCACAAATCTATCTCAAACACAACTTTTTTCTCACTTTTCTTTTAAAATATTCCTCCTGTAATGGTGTCTATAATATTATTTTTTTTGTAGAAAAAAAAATAAAGGAAAATAGCAGAAGCACTTAGGTGATTCATTAAAATATCAAGGGCTTAATTTACTTAATATTCCAACTCCGCCTGTTTTAGTATAATTTTACTTGGATCATGCGATTTATTTAATTGATTTTTTATAAATGATAGCATCAAATGGCTTATAACCAACATTGATATTGTTAATGATACAGGATGTAAGGTATGTCACATAAAAAAGATAAATGGTATAGCAATTGGATTTGTTGGCGAAGCTAATACTAAAATTTGATTTTTTAAAAGTCGAAAACACGTAATAACGTTGATGATTCAAAGCTATAATTGACAAAGTATGATAATAATAATGAGTCATTGTAGGGGATTGAGCGGAAAGTTTTGATTGATTGGGTTCGGAAACTGATTACGAATTATGGTTTTGAAAGTTATACCATATTAAAGTCAGCAGAGTATGAATTTTCTTTACGATTATAACATTTCGTTCATAAAAATTTTTAAGATGGCAAATTTTCTGACACAAAAACGACTAATCGAAGTATATATTTGCATGAAAAATTGTATTTGGAAAAATTTTCAAAGATTATATTTTTGTATCGGACGAAAGCTTTGCTTAGTATTAATGGGATAAAGGAATGTTGATCGTTTCTTAAAAGATAAAAATCTGTGACAACAGAATAGCATTTTTATTGAGCGAGTTTCTGCCATTTACATGCAAGCGCAATTTCAAATTCTGAAGCGGTTTTACAAATGTTTGACGTTTATTGTCACACGAATTTCCTTTTTCTGCATATATTCGATCAAAATAAAAAAAATTTCTTCATAAAAAAATAATTTAAATCATGGTATATATATATTCAATATAATAAAATCCTTTTTATATTAAATGTATTAAATGTTCACATTATTTTAACTTTTAATAGAAAATTAAAGTCCTTTCTCGCGACATTTCAGATTACACGCGCGAAAGTCC